TAAAATCACTGAAAAAACTGAGAATGAGGGAATTCTGGACAAGACCTGCTCTGCAGCGTCACTGGCAAGTTCTTCTGAGCTAGGTGTTACAGGAAAACATGGAGAGACCAAGTTAAGGACAGACCACAAAATACCATTAGAAAAGCAGAGATTGTCCAGAGAATCTGGAATTCAGACTAAGGAGCCACTGCAACGTCAAGAACTTTCTTCCCAGAAGTTTCTTTTGAAGACATCACCTACAAATGACAATTTAAAGTTATTCCTTCTTGGGTAAGAATTGCCTTTTTAAACTCTTACTTGCACAGACAATCTCTTTGCTGATAGTTTATAAAACTGTTTTGAATTGGGGTAAACAAATACTTGGTTCTCTTTTCATCTAGTTCTGTTTCCATTCTAGGGAGCAGCCCTCAAAGCTGGATGGTGATGTCTTGGCAGCTATAGAAGGAGCAGAGATTGATCCCCAGAAATTCCCAATGATTTACAAATGGAAACATGCGGTGCAATCCTACACCTCATCTGACAGGCAAAGGTATTGCTGCAAACTCAGTCAAAGGAGCTGAAGTACATTTTCAGTGAGTCAGCTTGAATAGCAGAATTTAAGGCCTTGTTACTTCCAAACCCATATTTTAAATTAAGCAGAATTAACTGTTTTCTGAAGTTAATCACCAAAGCCTTATTTGACTGGTGTCTGTTGATAAGGACTTTTTTGTGCTGCAGTCATGTTCTTTCCATTCTACTGCTGTTCCAAGTAACTTGAGCATGTCTCCACAGACAAATCAGACGTGACTGTTCTCCACTTGGCCAGTGTCTCACTTGGCTAATTTGGTACTTTGATCCTTCACTGGACCCAGTGATAGTTGTGCTTTTGGTTTGTATATCCCTATTTTGGATGCAGTGCAGGAATGTTGTGTTTGTTGCCTTGTGGTACTTAGATTGTGCTGAGGGATGTTAAGGTGAATTTAATATCTTTAGACATCTTTTTATTAGTGGGGGTTTTTTTATCCTTTATTACAACAGTCCAAAATAATTGTTCATGTGAAGGGTGGTGTGTGTCATCATGGTCATTTTGAAAGAAATGACATCTATATAGAATATTTCATGCTCTTCCTGTTCCTTCTCTTCTTCCAGACCTGTCTCTTACCAGACAGGATTTTTCTCAGCTGGTGCATTGGTTCTGAGATCTGAAGTGATTCTGAGTTCAAGTGCTGCTCTCATTATTGCAGTTTCCTTTAAAACGTGTGCAATGACTTCTGGTTTCTTTCAGTTGGCCAAGTCCAGCGTTGAAGGCAAGATTGCAGTCCCAGTCCATCGCTGCTTGCCCTCCAAATGCTTCTGTGTATCCTGGTTCAGGAAGGAACAGTCCCATACCAGGGAGTCCGGGGAAACACGGCAGCGCTGCCTCCTTCCCTCCGGAGCCTGGGAGCCCCGGGCGCTACAGCCCCGCCTGCATCCTGCGCTATTTCGCAGAGCCTCCTGCCCACTAGAATGCAGCTCCTCATCCTGGGACCTCAGTTCTGTTCTCATTGTTAGAGTGGAGGAAAAGCTACAATGTTACTAAGGTGACATGAGGTTTGTACTCGGCTATTTATTTTTCCTCAATTGAGGACAACTGTTTGTTTAAACAATGGAATATATGTCTTAATGCCATATACGAGGTAGATTTATTACTGGTGATGAGCAAGAAGTTTGTGACAGTGCAGTTGTCCGGTAGCTGAATTAACCCTTGTTGCCAGTACCACAGTGGGCTGAACAGTCCTTAGCAATGGTGGTAATTGCTATCACTACTTATCCTCATTGTAATGAACACACAGCCCTCAACTGCCTTTCTTGACCTTGGATAGTCGAGGAAATGCATCATCAGCAAATAAAACATGGGAGAGGAGATTGATGGCAGAAAGTGAAACCTTCTCCTGCTTGCAGGGGGAAAAGCCTAAAACATGCCTGGGAATGCAAGGGCAACTTTGCAGCGTGGAGCAGGGATGTGAAACCTTGTGCAGCAGTAGAGAGTGTTTCCAGCCAGCTGGGCTGGGCAGTTGATACCCACACCCACCCTCACCTGTCTGTCCATGTATGTGTGCACAGATCTGCACAGAGACCCTCGAGTTTGCTTGTTCTGAGGCTGTTACAGACACTGAGATCTACCGAGTGCTTTAGAAACAGGGCACTGTAGAAACTATTGGGATTCCTTTAAGTGCTAGTGGGAAGATTTAGGGAAAAGAAAAGCTTAAAAAATAGCTGGCTATTTTTTCCCCAGAGAATCTATTAACAGTAGCAGATTTGAATAGTTATTACACAAAAGCACATCAGCAATAATCTCAGCAAATTTACCAGCAAGATACTTTATCTTAATGGTCTGGTTTGTAATATATTAGCATGGTAGCCAGTGGCCCAGGAAGTGGCTATTTCCCAAGAGAGAGGACTAAGGACAAAATATTTTTATGAAATCTGAGCTTTTACTGTGTCTCTAGTGTTGATGTGGTAATGAGTTTTTGTTACAGCAGTCAATAATTATATTCTGCAGCCTTTTCTAAGAATGACTTGTTTTGACAGCATGATGCTGAGAGTAAGAAAGCTTTTCAAAACTCCAGAGAGTTTTCCATTTCAAGACTAGTGCTTGTAATGTTGTATGAAAGGCTTCCAGAAACAGCTCTCTAGGTTAAAAAAAAAAAAGGAAAGAAAAAAAGACCTATCTACTGTTACAGATAAATCGGATCAGAGAATGAAGTTCTGCAGGAGTGTGCTGTTGAGAAGGGATGGATTAGGATGGGCTGGTGCCAGAGTCAGTGAGAGCTCGGAGCCCCCTGGCAGGGCTGGCAGAGAAGGGCACCGCGTTGAGCAAACAGGGGTGGGAGGCAGGAGGGCCGGCCCCGGCTCCCCAGGGTCCCACCCCGGCCGGGGCGTTGCAGAGCCGCGGCTCTGGGCTGCTCCCACGGCAGCGACTGTTCTACACAAACTGTGCACCCTCACAACTTCCTGGCTGGTACAAACCTAAACACTGCACTTAATGCTTTTGCAAGCTCAGTAGTGCCTTTTGTAATATATTTTTTTAATTGAATTTTTTGTTCTTTTGGAAGTTTTTAAAAAAAAGTGGCATCCACTTACTATGGGCAGATAAAATACAGTTTTTCTCTGGGCTTTCTGAACAGGATCTTTTAATGTCTCTACATTGGATTATTTGGTGCAATAGCTCTCCATGGGGGGAGAGACTCCTCTTTTAGAAATTATTCATTAAAAAAAAAAAAAAAAGGCTTATTTTGCTCTTTTGTTAAAATTGAACCTAGTTCTATGGAGCTGGACATTAGGAAGAGCTACTTTACATAAATGCCTCTCCTTCAGTCATATTTCAGACAAGTACCAGGGTCCTGGGGGGGTGTGTCATACTTTAGGAAACATGTTTTTAAAAAACCCAGAACCAAAAAGATAACCTTCTGTTACTAAGTGTATCTGTTACTAAGTATATTTTATAAGGGTTTTTTGTTGGGTTTTTAATTTTATTTTTATGTAGCAGGCTCCATGGTCTCAAAATATGTTAAGAACCCACATGCAAGTTTTACTCCAAAAGGATTGAGATTGGTTTTTTGGGTTTTTTTTTTTTTGTTTTTTTGCTGGGTGGTTGGGTTTTTTCAATAATTTAATGTAAATTACATCTTTATCATGCTGGAGAAATGGATCAGCTTATGTAATTGCCTAATACCATGTTAGAGCCAAACTACTGGGGTAAATTGCTGTGGGTGCAGCTGCTGTTCTCCACTCTGGTCCTTCAGAGCTGTGGTATAGCAGCATTGTCCTTTTGCTAAGTTTGTTACTGAGCCAGGAGACTGATACCAACACTCTAGTTCTCTGTCCTTTTTACTTTTATTATGCTTTATTTTCTTTAATGTTTAAATATATGTTACTGGTATGTACCTGTGGCCAGACACCCCCCACACTCACCCACACACCCACCACACCCTTGCCTTCCACTTTGTAATGTTGTTTTGGTTCAGTCAGGAGAGTATTTTTTTAACTGTGTTATATAATGTGCTTTAGTCCAGTTGTACTTCACTTAAGAGGTCATTTTTCTAACAATGTGTTACTTCAGCTATGACAAAAATAGCAGTTTATGCAGCAGTTTGATAATTTGTGATTTTTGTGAAGAAAGCCCTTCAACACTGAGCCTGTGGAGACACTTTAAATCAGTGATAGTGCTTGAATTGTTTTCTTGGCCAAAAGTTCACTTTTAAAGGTGCAAAATAGCTGTGTTTTTGTCGGTTGTTTTTTAATTAGCAAAGTGTAATGTTAAAAATACAGAAGTATCCCACTTTCTATTAAAATCAAATGAATAGCTGAAAGTGTCACTCTGTGTTCAATATGGGGATGTGGGGAGAAGGAGCTGGGAACGACAGGGCAACTCACTGGCTTGTCTAGGCCTGGCTTGTACAATACCTGCAGCTTTTATGTGTGTTGGTGACAATGTGGCAATGGATTACACCATCAAAGACTTAAAAGAAGAGTCTTACAGTGTTGAAGAGACAGGAACTGAGACTATGGTAAAGACATAATTTTAACTTTCACACTTTCCACCCCCACCTTAAGTGTCATCAAAACTATTGTTAATTTCTGTACCTGTGCAAAGAGGTGTTGTGTCCTCTGGTTACCCACCAAGAGCTCATTCACTGACACAGGGGATGTAGAAGGGGATGTGTGTGAGGTACCATATGCACCAACAGGAAACAAAAAATCACAGAATTTCCATCTTACAGGTGCTGGTGCTCCTGTTCCTCGTGGTGGTGACACAGCCCTGCAAATGGCTGTGCTTAGGCTACAGCAGTTTCCCCTCCTGGGCAGTTCTGTGGCTGATGGCAATTAACTGCTCTGGCTCCCACCTCCAGTTCACATTTCAGGTGGTTGTGAAAGAGCTGTTGCCCTGAGCAGTGTGGGACACACCAGCAGTCCCCACAGAGCTCCAGCCACACTTGCTACAGCTGCCCATGCAGCCATTCAGCTGAAGAGACAGGAAAGAAAGACAGACCAAGTATTTTATTCAAAACTTTTAAAAAGTTAATAGACAAAAACAGATAAATTATTCTCATTGCATTAATGAGAGATAAATCATGATGGTTTCCTCTTGCCCCCCACACCTTACACTAAACAATAATTAGTTTGTTCCCTCCCAGTCGCTGTTCCTTGAACTTATCCTGATGTAGCAGCAGTTCACTATCAAGACCTTAAATCCTCTTTTCCATAGGCTGTGTGCCCTGATTATGCTTCATACAGCTTTGACAGGAGTAAGTCCAGCATCTCATCAACATCCTTATTGATCAGAGAATCTGTCAAACAAGTTAGTTATGTCTGCTGTCCTACTATTAACTGAGCCAAGTTGCTGCATCAGCTCAGGTGCCCAGCACGCTTCAGAATGCTTCTGAACCCTCCCCTCTCACAAGCCCAGCAGTATGAGAGCTGTATGAAGCCTTCTGCTCAATGCCTGTCCTGTACACTTGCCCATGACGAGCTACCTGCTCACCATTCTGGCAACAGCAGTTTGCTCCAGTGCTGCAGGACCTCTGACCTGCAGCACCACTACCCTGAACCTAGTGGTGGTATTGCTCTACTCAGAAAGCAAGGTATCAACAAATACAAATCAGTGGGAAAGAGCACTCAGTAAATATGTCAGTAACTGAAAGCACTTCGAGAAGATTGCTGCTTTCCTTTCCTCCCATCTTACCGCTACAGTCTCATCCCTACAGCCTTCTCTAGACCATGTTTTGGTTAAAGGTTTACAAGACTGAAAAATATTCTTAAAATCATCTTAAAGGATATCCTGAGGATGGTGGAACACTTAATGTAAGCAGCAGTTAGTTCTAGCACCACAGCTCTGAGGCAAATGATTTTTTTACCCTTTCCTTTATGTTCATACCTCCAGGCACAGTTTACATGGGCTTTTTGGGGGCAGAGGGGAACAATGACACAACATCAACATACACACTCAACAGCTTACAAAAAAGCTTTATCCCTTTGTCCTTTGGACAGCAGAATTCCCTGTTTGTCACTTCTGCAGGAGCTGGAACAACCTGGCTCACCTTTTGTTTTACCTGCAGTGTGATCCAAGGCTTTTCCCACGCCAGTTGCTTTCCTGCACAAGAAAAATACCCACAGGACCGGACCAAGCTTTGGTTAGAGAAATTCACATGGGGGTGAGGGAAAAGTCATTGCTCTTGCAGCTGCTGAGCAGACATTCAACCTGTATTCCACAGCTCAGCTTTGAGTTTTGAGGAATACTTAAGGACTGGACATGTTCAGGCTTACAAAGATTTCTTCTTTTCTGGACTGAAAGGCAGATATGAATATGAAGGAGGAATGGGGCCAAAGGACATTTGAAGACAGCATCACACCCCAACATAATAAAAATCTAGTGGTACTGTAGCAGAATGTGCTAGTGCAAAGAGACTAGAGGCAGCCCCTGGACAGCCATCGATCCATCTGGCTCACTCAGGTGCGTGTGATTTTGTCTGGAGGCATGAAACCTGTGTCACCCAGTGCTCGAAGGGCCACTCTGCCGTTGGGACGTATCACCAAGTGAGTGATGCTGCCGTTGTTGAGGGACAGTCGCAGCCAACCTTCAGGGGGGAACTGCAGTGCTCTGGTAACAAAAACACATATATTGGTAATTCATGAACAGTTAGATTAACAAGCCCTCACAGCATCACTTTCTGTCCCAGATAGGGGGAGAAGGAGGGGGAAACTCAAACTGGTGGGCATTGTGTGGCTTGCATACCAATGCCCCCAGTCAGCCTGGGAAAAAAAGCCTTTTCTTGTGGAAATGCTGTAAAACCACAGCGTTGGTAACTGGAGCGGAGCCAAGAGTGCCCTTGGCTAAGCAGAGTCCAGCAGATGGGTGTGATTACTGCTGACAGGATTAGTTCAAGTGGACAGAAGGCAGCAGCTCAATGCAGTGAGGCTGCTAGGAGTGCTCTCAGCAGCCCTGTCACAGCGAGGCTGCAGCACCACAACACCTGAGCAGGTGGGACAGGCAGAGCTGGCTCAGCACCCAAGGGCTGCCTGAGCAGAGGACCTGGATGTGGCAGACAGTGACACACTCCATTTCAGCCACACCCCCACAGCAGAGGCAGCGACAAAGGATTCCCTCCAGTGGCCTGCACGAGCCTAGGGAAGAAATTCACTGGAACTACTTTCCATGGGTTACATAATTCCCCAGGAAGGACAAGGACAAGTACCTTGTGCCTTCCTAAGAAACACAGCATCACAGCTGGTCTGCAGCCATTCTGAATTTCCTAGCTCAACAGCCTCAGGAGCTTCATCAATTGTATTAAACAGCTGGAAAAAATACCATGTTGCCTCAAACAGCTTTTGCCTCTGATACTGAGGAATAACTTGGTTTTGGCTCTTATGACAGTCTTGTAGAAAGCCCAAAAAAATTAAATACCAGCTCCAGCCAAGCTAGATTTAAAGGAAATGTTACACGGATTGTGTTCAATTGTACTATCAGACTGACTGGAATCAAAGGCACAGAAGAGACATTAAAAAGAGGAGGAAGGCAACAGCAAAGAGAAAAGGTAGATAAGTATTTCAGAAAAAGCCTTGGCAGGAACAACATACTATTTTTTAGCACAGGAAAGAGTAGTCTCTCTACCTGATCAATAATTTCAAGTATAGCAATTTTGAAAAGCTCTAAAGCAGCCCAGAGAGCAGATAGGCCAGCATTTACCTAGCTCAGCTAAACAAAGCTAACTGAAACTGTTGTAAGTATTGATCAGATTAAAGTTTAATCACACCTGTCCTGCTCACGACAAATTGTCTTGCAGACAGTGCTTTGTTGATGGGGAAGACTAAAACAGACTCAGCTGACTGGATACAGAAACAGGCAAAGATCCAGAACTGTTTTCTCCTTTATGAACAAACTTGATGTTATCGGAAAGATCCACTCTCCCCGTAATCCAATACTGGATGTTACTGCAAAAACACGCTAATGCAACTTCAACATAACTCAAAAATATCCATTAGTAAAGAATTCCCAAAACTGAATCAATCTTTAATGACATAAGCTCAAATTCATGTCACCTCAAAGAGATGCATCCAGTAATGCATCTATTTGCTATCTTTTCTAACAGGCACTACCCTCAGGTTTATGGAAGCAGGAGCACATAGCGATTAAAGTAACTGTCCAAATGTACAAAAAAAGTTAAGTTTCACTGACTTAGCCATTTTTGCTTTAGAATTAGAATGAAAGTGTTCTAATTATCGAATGTCCCTTGATAAAGTTGCAGAAGCAGCTGCTCACAATGCAGGCACTGATCTCCAACCACTCCAAAGAAGTGAAATCAATGCATCTCCTCCCTCGGGGGTGCCACAAGGCAGCCCTGTTGGAGTGAGCCCTCCCTGGAGCAGCCCCAGGGGAGCAGGCAGCCCTACCTGCACACGATGTAGCGGATGACGTTGGCGTGGCACACGAAGATCTCGTAGCTGTCCTCCTCCTGCTTGGCGTCAGCTCTATGAATGAAGTTTCGAAAAGCAGCCTCAATTCGAGCTCCATCTTCGTAATACTGCTGAGGGCACCGAGGTCACAGTTACACACAGCTCAGAGCAGCCCTGCCTCCCCAGGGACCTAACCCCCCAAGAACTCCTGGTTATACTTGGGGTGCACTTGGGCTGAACTAATGCTCAAGCACTGCAGGTTATTTTAACTGCTCTGCACACTTACTGAGGAGGAAGAAAGAATGCAATTATCTAAGGGCTGTGACAGCAAATATCAGCTCAGGCACTGCAAGTTATTGCTACTGTCCATACAGAGTATACTGAAAAAAATCCCAAATCATAAATAAAAAAAAACCTCTAAAGAAAAACTTACCACAGCTTCTGGTTTCCAGTGGGAGACTGGAGGGTCTGGTTCTATAGGTGCTCCCTCTCTCAGCAGATCAGTACTGATTTTTTTGACTCCTGAAATATTAGATACACATTCAGAAAGGAGTTGTTCACATGCCAAGACAAACAGCCCCACAACTCTACAATCACTACATTTTTCATAGTCTTTCTTTGAGGAAGGCTTATTCTATGTGTATCTCTCCAACAAAATTGTTTTGCCATCAGCAAGACAACTTACTCCAACTGAACAACACAGCCTGTCTGCTACACTTTGAAAAAGTGTATTTGTACTTTTAAAGAAAAACTGGAAACAAACAGAATTATGGCTGTAGGTTTCTTTATAAATACAAACGTTCACATAGGGCTGGGAAATGGCTAAATAACATCTCAACCTTAAGGACAAGCTAGAATTCTACTGAAAGCCGTTTTAAGGATCAGAAGACAATAAAAAATTAAGGGAAGTCTCTTACCTGGGAGATGTTTGCTTATAATTTCAGTTGTTTCAGTTGCTCTAGTCATGGAGGAGTGGATAATCTGATCAAATTTTAATCCCAAACTTGCCAGCCTGCGTCCAGTCAGTTCAGCCTGCTCTCGACCTTAAAAAAGCACATTCATTCTATAAATTGGTGACACTCCCATTACAACCTCACACAAAGTACCAAGAGAATTGTCCAGCAGACATGAAAGGTCTGCATCGATGCTGAGCTTTTTCCTTTCAAAAAGCAACTGGAAAACATTTTCATCAGAGCCACTGCTCAGGCCAAGCTTACTGACTGAACAATTTCAAGTCATACTTGCATCAGGAAAAAATTCTTTCTTTCAATTAGGAAAAAAAACCCCAGAAACCAAAACTTACTTAGCAACTTTTACTGAAGTACTCAATATCCATGCTAGCCCCATCCCCAGGAAGCAACAATTCCCCTCAGGCCTGACAGTGTGTTGTTGTTCATAAAGGCAACACCAGCCTGGCACAGTTCACAGCACCTGGGCAGCCTCAGGAAGATTCATCCCACATTTCAGGCAGGCAGGTGAAAAGAGAACAGTCAGGTTAAGTCACTTACTTAAGGCACAGGATGAGACAGGATTAACATTATGCTTTGTTACCAGTTTAAGATACCACTTGAGGCCTGCAATTAGCATTTCACTCCTGTTTGCACACCAGTAATTGAAATGTGGGTGGGAAAAAAATCCACAGAAATAATTCTTCCACCTCTGAAAACAGTGTTGGCACATACATAATCAAGGAATTGCTCACTGCTTTTCAAGTACATGATTAAAAGTAATACTAATTGGCATCTGAGACCTAGTCACAGGATCAGTGAGTTAAGACTAACACAAAGGTTATCCTCAATTCATCTAAGTGATTAGCAGTACTCCCAGAAACAGTGACAGCAGCAAAAGTGCAATGCATTTAATTATAACACTCCAGCTGAAAGTCAGAGGTGTTTTTTTTTTAATAAATCAGCAGATTAAATTAAGAGAAACACAAGAAAAATCCATCTCAATGAAGTTTAAAAGACCCAACCCTTAGGAATTACATCAGCTGGCACAAACGAACGTTTGCTGAAGCAAACTTAAGATAATTTGGAATTTACTTTGACAAGTTTCTTTACAACTGAGTGTGTTTAGAACTCTCTAAATCACATCTTAATGTTTGGATCAAAACCGAAGAAAACAAAACTTATTAATGACATCTTTCTGCCACAAAGGAATACAGAAAGTACATTGAAGTTTGGCAGCAAGACCCAGAACAGTGCTGAGTTACTGACCTCACAGGTAAAAAATAATTTCCTCAAAATGCAAAGCACGATGCTGCTAGTGGTACCTACCCAGTGGGGTCAGAGTTCTGTCTTTGTCAGCCCGGCCATCCAAGTGGTACTGGGAATGGCGGATCAGGAATATGTGCCTGGTGGCTTTTGCTTTGCAGTGATCTAAGCGAGAGGCAAGCTCTTCTTCACCCGTTTCTTCATTTTTCTTTTTGAGGTTGATAAGAGCCAGTGGTTCACGTCTAAATAAACACATTTAAAGAGTCATTTTTAGATGGGGAGACTGAGAGGCAGGGGAATTTTACAGATATATAGTCTTGATTTAATTCCAGACATAGCTGGAGAACTAGAACTGACAGTTTAGCCATTTGTACATGAAGCTGATTCAAACTTTTGTGTGAAAAGTAAAAATAAATGCCTGCATGAAAAAAAAAAATCATGTCATGGGTTAAAAGGTGTAACTTGACATAAGTAAATTTGCCACTTAGTGCCAGCTACCTGAATTAATTATTGGAAAAAAAAAAAAAAAAGCAATGAGCAACAGAAAAACTTGCAGCGTACAACAGTATGGTTTTTGACAAGAAAAACTAACCAGGAAGGACACCCAGGAAAAAAGGAAAAGGTGCTGACTGATCATTAGAGAAAGAAAATGCTTCATATCTAAAAGGCCCTGTAATAACACCTAAAAAATCTGCACTTTAGCAATCACATTTACATCAAATGACTAAAAAATCACCCCCCAACAACATCCTAGAAAGACTCCAACCTTTTGCAGTGCACATTGAGGATTATTTTCTACTTTAAACTAGGTCACATCAGTTCTCTCCAGTAAAACTTTTTATTCTTCACTCTGGAGTGTTTTATTTATCCTTTCATCTTTTCAGCACTCTCTCCCCTCATGCCACTTTAATCTCTCTTCCACTTGTCACAGTGCACATGAGCACCCTGCTCTGCACATCACCCAGACAGCTGACCTGGTTCCTGCTGAGGACAGGGGGATCTCCCCCTCTCTCTGCTATCACAGGTTTGGTGCTACAGACCTCCCACCTCCAGCACCGACCCTGCCCAAACCTTCCCCACGTTAATCTGGGCCCCTCTCTGCACTGATCCTCCACCCCATTATACAAATCATTTTCTGTCAGTCCACCTCAGAGCGTGTTTTATTTATGCCGCACCTCACTTGTTCCAGTATTAAACTTGTTTATTTGATGATAGATTTTTTTTAATAGATAATAATTTTTATTCCGTTTGGGACAAAATAATTTGTTCACAGAAAATTGCTGCTTCTCACATCTATTTCTCACAGCAAGATTGGCTGTGCAAAGCCTTCCTGCCTCCATTTTGCTTTACTGAACACATGATTTCCATTAGACAATGAGGATCTACACATTCCTCAAGCTGTTAATTCCTCAGCAAGGCATTAAAAATGAAACAACAAGCCAGAAACAATAAGTTCTATTGCTCCTTCACAGGATATTTTTGATTCACTGGAAATTATTCTGCTGGCAAGATACAATAGGAAAACAAAAAAAATCTTTAAAATCAATTCAAGCACATTAGTAAAGCAGCAAGGGGAATAACTCGTCTGATGTCTGTCATTATATATTCCACATGAATGAAACTAGATCTGTCCTCTCTGAGAACTGAGTTGCACAATTCCTGTGCAAGTGGCAGAGACCAACATTCCAACTGTGACACCCTGTCAGACCAATAAGAAGTTTGATATTTGCATTTGTTTGTTTCAAACATGAAAAGCCACTGGTTGTTAAGAATATTCTAGTATCTAGTTATCTGCTCAAGGCTTGACTTTCTAAACATTCCCTGCCCCCATAGAGAAGTGGTCAGATATTCTGTGTATTTATAAGCCATTTAACAACTTCGCACATTAACTGCTTCTGCCAATAACATCCAAAAGTCAAGATTAAGATTTCAAGCAGGCACAACCTAAGCCACAACTGGTAGACCGCAAGCAGCAGAAAACAAATTGATTTGGGGTAATATATTCCACTGCCACTGTCTGCACACTGTGAGGAATGGTGATTTGCTATCCTGAACTGCTAGGAAGTATTATCTGGCTGTTTTTGCTCAGGCAGTGGTGACAGCTCTGTAACCTAAAGCACAATCTCTACTTCCTGGATTGGTTTAAAAAAAATTACTTGAGTCTAAAAGTACCATAGAATCCTTGAAGAAGATCAACCATTTAGCAGAATCAGGAAGCTGCAGTTAAACAAGCAGCTTTAGTACCTCCCTCAGTAAAATTGTGTAACCAGTTGTAACTTTATTTAATGAAGGCATTATTTTTATCACTGGGGTGTGCATAGCCCTATTTACATGAGCATTTGATCCTGCAGCCTCTCAAAAATCAAAATAATGCATTATACAATAAAATCTGTTAGTGCTTAGGTTTGGATTTACTATGATTAAACTGGAGCCTGACATAAGTCTCCCCTGGGAGATAATTCTACCAGACCAAAGCTAAATGAGCCAAAGCTCCATGCGGATATCTGCACATTCTAATTAAATATTCAGAGAAAATGTAGTCAACCCCTGTGTGAACGCGTTTCAGCGCTGAAGAACGCGAGTGAGCTGGGTTCAAACGCCACTGGCTGTACCAGGATTTGAGCGCAGGAGCTTCCCGAGCACAGGCCCCGCGCTGCCCACAGAGCGCCCGGCACCCACCCGGGACTGCTGCCGAGCCGACACCCGCTGCAGACACAAAAACACCTGGCACGGCCGGGGAAAACCCAAACGGTGCTCGCATCTATCACAAGCCTGAGGCTGGCAGTGTGGCTGGCGGAAAGCAGCAGAATAAAGGCACCTGCACAGGGTTAAGTGAACAAATCCCAGCGCTGGCACATCCCTCCACAGCGCTCCGGCGCTCCACGGGTGTTCGCGAACTTCAGCTGCGTTCTGCTCTGAGCAGGTCAGCACACGGAATTTCACCGGGAAACGAGTCCCGCCGAGCCGGGGACTGCTCCCGACCCCCGAGGGGCTCCGCAGAGGGATTCAACAGGGCAGGTCCCACCGCCGCCCGGATCGCCCCCGGCCCTCAGCACAGCCGCG